TGGACAAGATGTGTGTGTGTGTGTGTATGCATGTATGTGTATGTGTGTGTGTACTGAGGTTTGAACCCAGAGCTTTGTGTTCTCGCTTGGCTTTTTCACTCAAGGTTGTGTTCCACCACTTCAACCACCTCTATACTTCTTGCTTTTTTGGTGGTTAATTGGAGATAAGAGTCTCATAGACTTTCCTGCCTGGTATGGCTTCAAACCTCAATCCTCAGACCGCAGCCTCTTGAGTAGCTAGGATTACAGGCCTGAGCCACCAGCCCCAACAAAAGCTAAAATTCTTTACAGTGAGTCTTCCCTGGCCGTGCAAACCAAGAAAGCTAGGCCAGCCTCCATCTCTACTCCTTGCTCACAGCTAGCTTTGGGAACCTCTCGTCCCAGCGCATGGTGACCCTGACTCTGGTTCCTCCCATTCTGCCAACATTAATGCTTGTCTCCCCTGGCATCCCATTGTAGTAAGAGTCCTGGAGAATAAATTCCTGCTTCTTGCTTTCGACTAGGATTTTAGAGGTAGCCCTAAACCCATCTTACCTTATTTCATTTCCAGTCTCCCCCCTCCCCCACAAAAAGAGTTTGAAATACCATAGAAATCTTTTTTTTTCTTTTTTTCTGATTGTTGAGCTTGAACTCTGGGCCTGGGCCTGGGCCCTGTCCCTCAGCTTTTCAGCTCAAGGCTAGGACTTTACCACTGGAGCTACAATACCACTTCTGGTTTTCTGGTGGTTTATTGGAGGTAAGAGTCTTACGGAGTTTCCTACGCAGGAAACTTTGTGCCTACCTTTCATGATCTGGGGCTTGGGGAGCCTAGAAATCTAAGGAAGTTTATAACTGAGACATATTGGAAAGTGGGAGCCAGGCAATTTACCACAAGTGAAACAGAACAAAATTCACCCAGTAGCTTAATGATGGCAGGGGAAAAAAATGTACCTAAATGGCTGCTTCCTCAGAACCTCCAAGTTGGATTTCAGAGAGAGAAAGAGGTCATTCTGTAATCTTCCCCTTTTCCCATTATGATCCTCAATTTGCAAAGCAAATGTCTTTTGAAGAAAAACAGAGGTCCAGCACAGTGGCTCACACATGTTATACCAGGAAGGAGGGAAGTAGTGCCCAGGAGGATCACAGTCCAAACCAGCCTGGGCAGGAAGGGAGCAAGATCCCCATCACAGGGCTGGGAAGGTGGCTCAGTGGTAGAGCACTTGCCTTGTATGCCTGAGGCCCTGGGTTCAATTCCTCAGCCCCACAAAAGCAAAAAGAAAAAAGCCGGAAGTGGCGCTGTGGCTCAAGTGGTAGAGCACTAGCCTTGAGCTGAAGAGCTGAGGGACAGCG